GCTAACGGCGCCGAGCGTGCAGCGCAGCACACGCGCGACACGCCCTTCGCACGGCGTTTGATAAATCGGCGTCTCGAGCCCTATCCGAGTCGAAAAGTGTGAGAACCGTCATTTCACACCTCGAAACCGCTAAGTCATTTTTTCGCCGTCAAGCCGCTCTAGCGGCGCTGCGCGCCGCAAAGAGAGCGCGGCGCGTGCAGAGGAGCACACACTGCACACGCACGGTGAAGGCCGTCTCACGAGTCGGCGAGCCGAGCCCTATTCATAGCAAAGAGTGTGAACGGCGCCTCTTCACACCTCGAGCCGTGAACACCGTCCGGCGCCTTCTCACCGCCCCAAGGGCGCTGCGCGCCGTGCTAACGGCGCCGAGCGTGCAGCGCAGCACACGCGCGACACGCCCCTCGCACGGCGTCTGATAAATCGGCGCCTCGAGCCCTATCCGAGCCGAAAAGTGTGAGAACCGTCTTTTCACACCTCAAAGCCGCTAAGTCATTTTTTCGCCGTCAAGCCGCTCTAGCGGCGCTGCGCGCCGCAAAGAGAGCGCGGCGCGTACAGAGAAGCACGCGCTGGCCACGCACGGTGAAGGCCGTCTCACGAGTCGGCGAGCCGAGCTCTATTCATAGCAAAGAGTGTGAACGGCGCCTCTTCACACCTCGAGCCGTGAACGCCGTCCGGCGCCTTCTCGCCGCCTCAAGGGCGCTCCGCGCCGCGCTACAGCGCCGAGCGTGCAGCGCAGCACACGCGCAGCACGCCCCTCGCACGGCGGCTGATGAATCGGCGCCTCGAGCCCTACCCGAGCCGAAAAGTGTGAGAACCGTCTTTTCACACCTCAAAGCCGCTAAGTCTTTTTTTCGCCGTCAAGCCGCTCTGGCCTTTGAATGGCGTCTGACAAATGTTTTTATTCTTCTCAGCGCATCCATCTCGGCGCGTCGATCCTTCGTTTTCCGGGTTCCAATTCTTTTCCTGCCTCGCCTGTCGCGTGAATCGTTTCATGCGACCGCCTTGTCGAAAATTCTTACCGGCCCCCAAAATTCTTTTTCGGTCGCGGACGGCACACGCTCGCCATTTGCTCACGCTCGCGCAGGCGCGTCGCAGCGTGCACCCACGCAACGCCTCCGCTCCGTTCACACCACCCACTGCGTAGCCATGGCATTTCCGTGTGCATGCGACGGACTCGCTCTCCTGCACTTGCCGCCGCCCTCGCCACCGCCGGTTCCGAAACTGCTCTGCGGCCGCCATCGCACTCACTGCCTCGCTCTGCAGGAGTCGACACCAGCGCCACCTGACCCGCACCCGCTAGCTGTGGTGCGGGGGCAGGAGAGGGGTTGTGCGTGCAGCGGGGCGGAGGGCGGCGAGGACCTGTACTGGAACGAGGGCCTGCTCCTCCGGCTCACCCCGTCCTCGGACCCAGCCTCGCTCAGCCTCGCCAGCGTCGCCAGCGAGGCGGTGGTCGGCTGGAGGACCCCCGGGGTGCGCGGGCGGGGGACGTTCGCCGGCGAGTACCGGCGAGGAGACTGTTGCGGCGACGGCGCCGGCGCCGGTGGCGGAGGCGGCGAGTCGCTCGGCGAGGAGGGCGGCGCGGCTCCGAAGGCGTGCTTGCTCCTCCGACGAACCGTGCCGGAGCCGTCGGACGACTCGGCCAGCTGCCCGCGAGGGGTGCCGGAGCCGTCGGAGGGGCTGCCGGGGGTGGGCGGCGGCGGGTACCTGCCTGGAGTGCCGGGCGGCGGCGGCCGAAAGATGCCCCGACGAGCGGCCGGCGACCCGACGGCGACCTGCAGATCGCCCGCCGCGGAAGTCCCCTCGAGCGCGCCGCCGCCCGAGTCCGACGACCAGCTGTCGTCCAGCCGGAGATCTTGGAGGGGCTGCAGCGGGCGCGGCGGCGAGGGCGAGGCCGAGGTGGATGGCGGTGCCGTCCACTCCCTCCCCCCAACCGGTTGCCCCTCGCTCGCCCCCTCCCTCTGCCGCTTATCCGTCGCCCGCGCTGGGGTCACGGCGCCGCTGGAAGGAGGAAACGAACGAGAGCGGCGCCGGCCGGCGATAAAGGCAGCGGCGATGTCCACCGCTGTCCTCTCGCGCCGCCGCGACCGCTGGTCGCGGAGCCGGCTGCCCCGCTGGTAGAGGACGAGGCAGAGTGCGCAGCAGAGCAGGGAGAGCGCAGCGGCAGCGACGCCGCCGATGATGGGCCAGGGGAGGTTGTCCGCCCCGCCGCCGACCTGCGTGGCCGGCTGGATCGGCTTGATCCACCACGGGGGCGAGGTGGGCGGCAGCGGCGACTGCGGCGGAGGCCGCGTGAGA